AAGGGGTACGTGCGGCAATCTAAAATTGGTCAATTTAAAATTTAAATGCATGAGATGAAACAATAAAAAAAAAAAAAAAAAAAAAAAACCGCATCGACCCCCTAATTGACTTAGCCGCATCGACCCCCTAGCCGCATCAACTCCCCAATGATGTTGCATCGACCCCTGGGGGCCCATATCGACCACTTTGATGACCCCTGCCTTACACAATCAACAATCTTTTTCTTTATTTTGAAAAAGGTTCTAAGATAAATCCTAACACTTGATTGTTGAAACATGAGAACTTTGAATTTGTTTAAATTATATCATAAGAAGAGTTGTAGAACCTGGTGGAGATTATAAATAATCCACCTGAGTTATCAAATTCTTACGGCTCTCACCAGCGAACCGATGACACATCTTGAACTTAGGACCACAACAATCTAAATCACCTGATTTATTTCCCACATTCAGTGAGGATAAAAAGAGCATGCACCCAATCATCTGGGCAGACATATCTTGAAGAGAGAGGACTCCACCATAAGACAAAGCTCTACCTGCCAGCTCTCATCTTCCGACTCCCTTGATAGCTATGCTAAAAGAAAATCCACAAGCAGAAGACATCAGACCATTTTAGAGGTATCTGGCATAGTTTTATGTAAACTCTCTCTCTGCCGTTTAGAATTATAATTAGTTAGATTAGTAGTTAAGTAGTTAGTTAACAAAATAGAAATATTTTCCTCCTCATGAAACCCTTTGTGTTCATCATTAAATTGTGTTATTGTTTGCACTGGCCTCATTTCGGAGTTCCATTAACCTGTCCTGCGTTGTTCCCGAAAATATTCGTGTTGACCTAATTGACCTGCGTGGGCAATCCTAAATATTTTCATGTCTACATCAAAATGTTTTTGATACTAGATGTCGCTATGTGTCATAATTTTTATATTAAAACAAACTTTTGAAATATAATTTTTTTGTTCAAAATAATTTTTAATGACACAGTAAACACGATTATTATTTTAAAAAAAATTTTTAGGCTTAATATCGACAAAAATTCAAAATGGCGTCACAGGCAACATAAAAATTTCAACATCGGATAGGTTAATATCGACAAACCTATCGAATTACCCATGGCTTCCTCACTCAATGTTTAGATCAAGCCCTCTATTCCGAAATTCAGACGACAAGTATAATTGTGAGTTAAGATGCATACATTTATCTAAACTGGTGTCAGACCTGACAGGAGATGAAAATTATACAATTTTCCCACCTCCGACAATATACCAAGGAAACTAGCCATCCAGTGACCAAGTGAGTGGACTTCATGAGTCCAATCCTGAAAAAGTGGTTAGAGTAAGATCTAACCCCTGGATTCTCACAATGATATAAAATAAGCTTAGTTTTTCAATACTGAATTTTATTTGTGGTTATATTGTATTAATTGACATTTAAGAAAATACCAATACCACAAACACCCATTTAGCATTATTGTTTCTTTAACAATGACATTTAAAGATAAATACTGTCAATATATAAACAAAATATCAGTTGTGACTTTATTATACAGTACTATATTTCATAATATTGTTTATTAAAAATTCATGTAATTTATATTTTTCAATAAAAATTATAAATACAGTAATTGAAAATTTAAAAAATAAATATTAAACATATAATAGAACATCAAAATTTATAAAATTACAGAGTAAAAATTCTCTAAAAAGCAAAATACTAAAAGTTACTACTGCATAAAAATTTTAAAACTATCCATTCAAAACTTTTTAAAGACTATCCATTCAAAACCATTAAAGAAATCTTTTCCTTATACATTACTCACCTGGTAAATTTGAAATTTCACACCTTTATGTGAATGGACAGTATTACATCAATTCATATAAAGGTATGAACTTTCCAATTCACAGAAAGGTAAATGAGGAGACAGTACTTAAAACTAATAAACAAACAATATTTAATATCAAAAGGACACAAATGATAATTGATCTGTCTACTTGTTTTGCTTTTTTAGATCTTGATAAATTTATTGTTTCACTTGCAGTGGTAGTTTCAAGGACAATGGTAGGAATAAAATACTATACTTTGTTGCAAAAAGAAATTCAAAGGCAATTGATAATTTAAAATTTATTGACTCAAGTGCTTTTAAAATTTGAGAGACCAAAAAAAGCATGATATATCTGAATCCACAATATAACAAGGGGCTATTGTATATTGCTACAGTAATTGTACATAAACATACATCATAATACAGCAGAATCCTGATTATCTGAGGCTCAATTGATTGAGGTACCCACATTATCTAAGATGTATCTGTAGGTGAACACACTATTTTTCTTTTAAATAAAAAAAGCTTTGCTGTGAATGCACTGTGTGTGTGTGAATACTGTTATCTTGACCTTTTAACATTTACCATACCAAATAAGTAATTGTTTTTTTAAAAGTCTTTCTTAGTTGGCCCTTGAGGCTGCTGGTCAACAAGAGGTCCACCCCATCTACCACCTACCACCTGGGTGGACCTCTTGTTGACCTTGCCAAGCTGCTTGGTGGGCTTTTTCCTCCTTTCCCTTGTGTCACACCTTTGTCCATCATGGCTAAGGTGGCAATAACTGCAACCCTTGGTGCTCTGCCCCAGTGCTTACAACCTATATAAAATGGATGTTGCTGCGTTATATCTTTCTGTGCCTCACTTTGATGCAAACTAACTCATTACTCATCAAAGAAGCTTTACTGCACAACAAGTTCTGAAAATCTGGGAGGCTTTGCTCTTCATCACGAAGAACAATTACAGTAGAGCGTCGATTATCTGAATGTCAATCAACCGAAACATTGGTTAACCGAAAGCGTTCCAGCCAGACTGTGTTGTGCTGAATTGAACGTTTTTCATACTAGATTAACTTCTAAAGTATAATTTTTTTGTTTTTATATTTTTTAATATATTTATTTTGTTTGTACAAAATAAAGAAATAATTTTTAATGATACAATAGTCATGATTATTATTATAAAATTTTTCGTTAGATTAAATTACCCAACTTCACTGCCTGTAACCGGTGTTCTTCTTCTCCAATGCAGAGGAATTTGCAAACATTAGGCTTGAAAACGTTTGCAAAGTCCTCTGCATTGGAGAAGAAGAACACCGGTTACAGGCAGTGAAGTTGGGTAATTTATCTACTCCGGTGTTAAAATTTCTTTATACAGTGGAACCCCGGTTAACGAACGTCCTGGTTAACAACCAAATCGGTTAACAAACTTTTATTTTGCAAAAATTTTGTCTCAGATAACGAACAAAATTTGGATAACGAACGTAACAGTATATTGTGTCAAATTTTAGTTGGTGTTAGGCATGCGCGAGTTAATTAAGCATTGCTTTTCTGAGTGTTTGTGCTATACTTCTTTATTTCAGTTTTGTGATTTATATATTTAATCAATATGGTATCAAAGAAAGAAAAAAGTCATAGTGGCAATAGAAAACAACGATGTGCTATCGCATTTGAGAAAAATTTTGATTAAAAGAGTAAGACAATCTTTAGATCAATTTCTTGTTCCTTACAGAAAGAGTTTGTTTCATTGTTAAGTTATGGCAACGCAACACTTCGGCGATCTGACTAGGGTAAAATGCCTTCTGGGAGGTGTTTTTAAGAGAAACCGGCCCCTATTTAGGCGTTACAGACGTGGATAAATCCCGGAAAACTCCACGTAGCCAGTCCGTCTCAGCAAGGTGCGAACCCACGAACGAACTCCCCGTGTTCAAGGTACGAAGACCACTTAGCAACTGGTGGGTTTTTACCGAAAGAGACTTCGACTCAAAGAATCTTCCGATGAAGTGCTACCCATTATTTTTTTGGAGGGGATTCCCCTTCTAATCATTAAGGTTCGTATATCTTCACTTTTCTGCCACCAACTACAACAAACGAAGGTATTATTAAACAAAGTTTACATGTTTGTTGCTGTAATGATAGATACTATGTTTTCCTACATTTTCATCAAAGAAAATTATTGTATATTTCAAATAAAATGACAAAAATTTCAGAGACTAGAACGAATTAATTGCATTTGCATTAATTTCTATGGGAAAAATTGCTTCGGTTAACGAACAATTCAGTTAACGAACGGAGTCGCGGAACGGATTAAGTTCGTTAACCGGGGTTCCACTGTAGTTTTTTGTTAGGCTTAACATTGATGAAAATTCAATGCTAAGCAACATGCAATGGAGAAAAATTTAAACATGTATATATATTAATAAAATATTTTTTTGTACATGATCGGTTATCTGAAAAATTGATTTTCTGAATAACCCCAGTCCCCAATTGATTCAGATAATTGGCACTCTACTGTACTTCCATTTTAATGGGAAGATATACTTCCAAAAACAGAATATCCCAATGGGTTGCCATTGTCTCCTGTCTTAGCAGACTTGAGGCACATCAAACACAGGGTTTTTGACTTCCTGCTCTCCATAACTTACTCAGTGCTATATCTGAGGTACGTGGATGACATTCTGTTAGCATGGTAGGACACAGAGGGCATGTTTCCAGTCAGAATATTGTCTTGTTAGTGTATACTCCTCCATCAATTTCACCTGGGGGAAAGAAATCTGGGGAAAAATCTCGTTTCTATAACTAGACATCTCCAGGTCACAGGAGGACTTAGTTTTCTTCATATTCCACAAATTCGACAATATTTCCCCTGTAATCCCTGCCACAGCATTCCAACCTCTGCAATATGTCAATGTGGCCATAGTTCTTATTAGAAGGGCATTCCTAATACCTTCTACTCAAGCTATCACCAATATTGAACTTGATGCTGTCCGGTCAGCAGAATGTGCGGCAGGCTACAGTATTGCCAAATACAACCACATCCTAAACAGAGTCAAGAGGTCACTCTTCCCCACTACCAGCTTGTGGTACCCAAGGGAATCTAGTCCAGCTTTCTTTACCGTACTGTGGTTGCCTGCCAGCCTGTATATCTTATATCTTCAAACAAAACTCCTTGCGTGCACCCATCTCACTGTGCCCAACTTTATGGAGACTTTTATGCAATGATAGGAATGCACTTTCACACTTGGAAAAGTCAGGTGTATATTCAGTTCCATTAGAAAATACAACAACTGGGACACACATCTCTACATAGGGGCTACCACCAGAATGCTATCCTCTCGATTAGCGGAAAGTGTGACACTGAATTGTCCAAAATGGTCATACAGCATAGTCACACCCCACATTGGGATTGCTCTGTGTTACTTTGGAGCTGTGGTGAAAGGGCCCTTCTGTTTATTTGGGAGTCTCTCCTCACCACCCTATTGGCCCTGAGTTGACTGATATTTGGGTTAATTTATATAAGCATATAAATAATAATAACTGACTGCTTGTCTCCACTTCCACATCTCTATGAGCATGTGCATAGATTTTAAAAATGTTTTCAAAAATTTTGCATTAAAGGTTTGTATTCTGTTCAATTAATGTTGTTTCAATTCTGTACTTCAAAAGTTTTGTTCTGAAAAAGTGTTCTATTTGTGTTTGCCCAATGACAATACAGTATTTATATCAATATCAAAAACACTAGCAAAGGAATTAAAAAAAGAGCCCTTTAATGCCATTTTCTGTTCATTTATCCTCTTTTCTCTCAAGTAAATGTGTTGGTGTGAATTCCATACAATATTTTTATATTATTTTAGTGCAACTGGCAACACAACTGCATGGGAAGCAGGAGTTGTGGGTTTGAGTCCCACTCTGAGCCAATTCTTTTCTTACAGAATAGTTTAAATTAAATTTTAAACCACAGTATGACCACCTTTATGGTTTAATAAAAGTTCATTTCTCTAATGTTCTTTGTCTTCTTAATTGACCTTCCTCAAGAAATTTAATTCAAAAACAAATGAAAGCCTTAATTTATTCTAGAATCACTTAATTGAATTCTAATGGTTTTGAAACAACAATAAAAATTAAAAACAAAAATTTTTAAATGCATGGAAGTACATCCCTGGAGTATACAAAATATTAGTAAAACAGTAAGATTTAACAAGACTCACGTTCTATTGGGACCACCAAAAGGTTACTTAAAGTAAGGATAAAAGAACATAAAGACAACATTCAGAAAGCCCTCCCAGCTACTGCCTTAGCTGCTTACACTATCTTGGACTCAAGTTCAGTATTAGTTGAATGGAGCTAAGCAAAAATAATCCAAAAACTTAGGAGGCAGCATATCAAATATGCAGAAATGTGGCAAATACTTAAAGCAACACAATTTTAGTGGCTTGGAAAGTGTTACTAAATGTGACTTCTAAATGATCTAATAAGAAGATAGAGACTATTAAATACAACCTCCAAATTGATGAAATGAAGAGCTTCCAGAGTGATTGCTATACCTTATTGTGCATATTAGTTGACAATAAATACATAAATATTTTTAAAATACATATCCTGTAAGTCATGGATTTATTGGTATTTCATATACAGTATTTATTGTTAGTTTTTAAGTTATTTTATTTTACATTTAATAAGTTATATTCTTGTTTTACTGTATTTATATATACATAGTTGATGTCAAAATAGAAGTCCTGCATACACATTTAAAAAATTAAAAAAGTTTTTGTTGTTTCCAAAAAATGCTAGTATTTAAATTAGGTGATTCTAGAATAAATTAAGGCTCTTGTTTCTTTTGAATTATAAATTTTCTGAGGAAGATCGATTAAGAAGACTAAAAATTTATTTCTAGTTTTTGAATAAATTTTTACTGCACCATATAGTTGTATGGTGGTTATTAATAGTGCAGTTACTAATACAGTAGAACCTCGATTATCTGACCCCCGATTAACCGACCGTCCTCGTCGGCAAATTTCAAATGTCCACTAGTGATGTGGCGCTACAATATTTGGCCATGTCTTGGCTACTTTAATATTATTTTTACGTGTTTTAGCTGGCAACACTCATTCGACCATGAAAGGGAGCCAGTATTTAAACGAGGCTTAATTTTCTAATTTTTAACGATACAATAGCGACGATTATTATTTTAAAAAATTTTTGTTAGGCTTAACATCGATGAAAATTCAACGCGAAGTAGGTTAATAGCGATATACTAATATACTAATTACATGGGATATAATAATATACTACACTAATAATGAATTTTTTCATACTTTTCGGTTATCCGACTTTTCAATTATCCGACCAATCCCAGCCCCCAATTGAGTCGGATAATCGAGGCTCTACTGTAGTAGTTAAACTTTAAAATTTATATATTTATTAAATTTGTAAAGAGATGGTGATCTAACTGCCTACCTCTAGACAAATTGCTTTGATTCTGATTTTTAAGTAACCATAAAATATAGTCTGATAAAGTTCAGCAGATTGTTTGTCAATGTTAAAATATCAGAATGTAATTTATATAAATAAATTTATTGTTTACTTATGAAATATAATTATAATACTGAATATTATATACTGAAATTGATAATATCTTCAATACAAGTTTATGGAAAGATATTAAATATAGAAATTTTTCATTTAACTATTTAAAATGCAGTCAAATAAATTTATAAATAGAAAACAAATAACTTCAAATACAAAAGAAATTAGCAAAAATGTTTGCAAGAGTTACTTTTGTGTAAATTATATTAAAGAAAAAATAAAGAGTTTAATTGAACAAAATTCACATTAAGTACTTTTAACAGCATATTACTGTTGCCTGGTGATAGTAATACATTTACTTCCTTTATAACACTGAAAGACAGTTACATTTTCTTTGTTTTTCTGTGATTTTGGTGTAAAGTGCTTTAAATTCTTTCATATTGAAGATATTTCAATTACAATGAATTTATTGTTATCATAATAAGCATCTTTAATTTTTAATTAAAATAGAATACTTGAAAAATTAATATTTAATATTAGAACACAATATTTCAATTAAAAATTTTCTTACAAACAGCTAATTCATCCAATTTATTTAAAAGTGCTTTTTTTGCCAATTGTAATTCTTTATTGCAGGGATCTTCAACATCTCTCCGTAACCAGATGTATGGACTAAGTGTTTCTTCTTCAGGAGGCAAACTTTTTGGAGATGTGTATAACCTAATACATAAATGTAATTATTATGAAAACTGAAAAATTGATTAACATAATAAAATAAACTACTAAATGACATAAATCTAATATTTTAGTATCACCGATATCAATGAATTAGTTATGTATGAAATACATAAAACTAGAAAGACAGTCTTAAATTTTAGTAACAGTAAATTTAACTTTTATGTACTAAAAAATACTATTATTCGATTCCTCTCTTAATGTTAAGTTTAAACAATAAAATACTAACACCCATTTATCTTGACATTGATGAGACTGAGTGGTTGTCGACTTAACAGTTTTTCTATCTTGTTTTTGCCACTTTAAAAAATTATATTAATGTTCTCAATCAAGGCTAGTGTGCCAAACATTGCTGCTTTTTTTTACAGTTGTAGGGAGGATAAGGGCAAAGGAAAGACAACACTTTTTTTATAGATATGTGACTATAGAAATAAAATAAAATATTATGAAAAAATTTAATATCTGCAATTATTAATTACAGACAGAAAACAAAATGAAAACCATTTCCACATAAATACAAATCTTATAATATAATTGAGATGGGTTGATGATGATAGTAATAAGCACAGAGCCCAAACAGTTAGGAGTTGAAAGTTGAAATATGGTATACAGTTAGGGTATGTCATGAGAACATACACTAAGAAGGGATTTTTTGAAATTCCTCCCTGCGGGGGAGAGAGACAGGATTAACGGTTACAGTGAAGAGCTCAGCTTCTATTTTAGATGCAGTTTTTTGTGTTTTTGATTGCTTTTTAATAGGGTATACCATGAGAATGCACATTAAGAAGGGATTTTTCGAAATTTCCACAATGGAGGAGAGAGAGAGAAAGAGAGAGAGAGAGAGAGAGGGGTTAAGGATTATTCCAAAGAACTTGGCTTCTACTATACTATTTTAAATGTCTTTTTTGCATTTATTTATGTGGAAAATCAAACATATTTTTAGACTCTTCTTAAAATTCTCAATAATATTTAGTGTTCCATCATATATAAAGTTGACAAAGAGAATGCATGTGCATAAGTTTGCGTTATTCAAACTCTTCATCTTAATGTTCGATTTTATGTTTGAATTTATATTTATGAATGATTCAGGAAGATCCAGCTTATTTTTTGAATTCAGTAAACCTGAAGAACCCAGAAGGGGTTACGAAAACATTTGTTATTCATCACTTAGTGGTACTACACACTGGTTAGTGGTTGCTGTGAATCTTAATTATCATTATCCCAGTGTGCTAAGCAGATATCTAAAAATTTTCTAATTAGTCTCAGAAGAGGGGGAGACCTAATTCTTGCACTTGGTGAAAACGGGTAAGATCAAGTATAATCTAATAATCTTAATCTTTGCTATCGTTTTTGTTCGAGAAACGTTGGGCTCATCTGCTAGTATGTAATAAGCAATTATTTATTGTGACATCATCACTGCAATTTTTAATCATTTTTTAATAGTGATGTAACGAATATTCGGTTATTATTCGGTATTCGGCCTATTTTTCGCTATTCGGCCCAATACCGAATACCTAAAAACAGGAGTAAAAAATAACAAAAACACAGTAAATTAATCATTTTGGTATTTAGATTTAATGTTATCGGGTTAGTGTTGTTTGTTTATATTTATTTATAACTTATAACATGCACAAAATAAAAAAGAAAATAATGTTCAGATGTGTCGCACGGAATCGACGCATAGCTACAATTTATTTTGTGTTATTTATTTCTGTGTTTGTTATATCTATGGAGACTTGAGAGACTATGTGGTGATTTCTTGTAACTGTGAACGAATCAAAAGACGAGATAAGATTAACGAGAATATGTATTAGCTTACATACATCCAACTTAGATTTTACACAAATTGCGAAATTATACCCTGACTTACGTGGTTATCGCTCGATCCCACCTATCATGTAAGTTTGGGGTATTACTGTAGTTAATTGGAGCCTCTTGTCCCCAAGGTTTCCATATCTGGTCTCATCTTTCATCTATCTAACTCCATTTTTGAGATTAAGGAAAGACAAACAGACAGACAACAATGGGAATTTATAAGTCTACAATTTTTTTCAAATTGCAGCCCAATGAAATTATGACACTGAGGATAAGCATGCTATTTTTTAAATGATATTCATGAGATATAAATAATCTATTATTTTCTTTTTAATAGAGGTTTTGGAGAACTGAAAAGTTAAAAAATTTCTGTCCATTATCTATAGAAGGCGGTGTCTGATTAATCAGAATAAAAATATATCAATAGTACTGTTATTATACCATGACCAGCCAAAATAATATCTTTGTGTAATGATGGACTAAGCTTAGACATTATTTGCATAAATTTTTTGGTAACAGTTTATTTACTAAACTAAATGTTGTTATCTTTTATGTTTCATCTGTCTGAAGATTCATTTGTGAATTTTGCAGCACTGGTAGTGCTAGAAAAGTTTAAATTATTGATACTAATGTTGCATAAGTGAATCTCTAGAAAAATTGACATGCAGTAGCTGTTTTAATTTTATGTTGAATTGTTCATTTAGATATGCATCTTACCATTGAATGTACCTTGCATATAAAATTATTATTATATGAAAAAGCTATAAGCTGCAAATTGGTACAATGAAATTTTTCATTTTGTGTTATCAACTAGCACAAAATGATTAAAAAGTTTTTAATTTTTCACTGTTTATACTATTATGGTTTGTGAATTTATTTCTTTGTGTGTGATAGCAGTTATAGAAACATAAAAACTAATTTGCAGTTAAGCTTCTGCAATCTCAATTTTGATTATTATATGGGAAGTATTGTGAATATTATATAGAAAAATAATGTATTTTTTTTACAGTAAGAAGTACAAGTTTGATTTCTAAATTTAATGTCTCTTAAATATCCCTATGTTTGCTTGATATGTAGTATGTATTATACATATTAGATAATAATTTTCCTTCAATTTTATTTTATACTGAAGTAAAATTAGAGTAAATACAGAAGAAAAATGTTTTTTGAATAAATATTTGAATCAACATTTAGCATCATACAACTCTTTAATTAATTAAGCAAATGAAAATTAGTAATTTCCAAAACCAAGATTATACCCTCTTATTGAAAATTTTCTTTCATAAGTTTTTATTTTAATGTGGAAAAAATTTAGGTAAGAAAGGCTTTCCATATGTCATTGTTAAGTTCAATTGTAACATGTGTCAGACATGTGTCAGGTGAGTGAGGTAATAGTATCCCCAAGAATTCGGGGTGAGATTGTCCTGCCTAGAGAGGGAGAAATTGTGAGAGAGGGAAATTTGTGCGCTTTCCTTTTGTGTGGGTCGGATCAGTGTTGTGTGTGGAGGCAGTACTGACCGGGGAGCTAACCAGAGTGGGTAGATGTGTGGCTGGTCAGGAACCAGTAGTGTAATTATCAAATAATTGTCGGGTGCTGGAGTGTTGCTCGATTGTGGAGTGCCAGTGAGTCACTTGCTGATTTGGAGACATTAAAGTGTAATTGTGTTGTTATTGTTAGAAAGGAAGTGTGTACTGTGTTCTTTTAGACCGTGTAAACGGGAACATTTTACACTACCATCATCACAACATCATTTTTATAAAACAGTTATTTTATTTAAAAATTAATAAAATATTAATTTTTAAATATGCCATATGAGTTTTCTGATATTTGTATCTAATAATTCACAAAATATTAAGTTTTGTAACTTCTTAAAATATTTTTGTGGTCTGTGATTTCAATTTCATATTTGTGAGTTTTACAGTCACAGCAACAATAGAAATGAATTTGCCAGCAAAGACATTAGACTGTAAGCATTAATCATACTCATTATCGTAAGAATACTTTTTGAATATTGTAGACAATTAAAATTTACATAGATGTGTCAATTTTCAAAGAAATCAAAGAATTAAAAATGTCTTGCCTGCAAGATTTTTTCTTTGCTTGCAAATTAGACACACACCATAAAAATGATGGTAATGAAGGATTAATTTTAACAATCCAATTTCAAATTTTAAATGCAAATTTAATTAAATTGCAAAGCAATCCTTCATTTTAAATATCAATCATTTTTGTAATCTAAAATAATTTGATATATGTGTGTCATAAAAATAAAAATAATAAATTTAAATGGAAAACTAAACTAAATGTAAGATCATATTTTATCTTTTATAACAAAAATGATCTTAGTATCATTTATAAGTTATTTTATTATTTATAAATATCCCTATTTTCTTTGTGTCTCTTTTTTGTTTTTAATAACTGTATACAGCTATGAATCTATATCTCATTCAATCTTCTTTTGTATAAAAAATTTCTTTTCACTTATTTCAAGCATTCAAAAACTTTCTGTTATTCTTTCTGAAAATTATTCTTTACTTTTCTCTGCCTTATGCAAAACAAATTCAATAAATGTTCTAATATTTTAGTATTTTATTTATTAACAGTATAATTTCTATGCTTATTTTTGTACATGTGATTGATCCATAATAACTTTTCGTTTATTGTTAAACTCTTAACTACCCCGCTTATTTTTATCTTTTGTATTTAAATAAATTCAAACTGATAAAAAAAAATATTTCTTTTTTCTGTAAATATTAAAATAATTCTTAGATTCAAATTCCTATTCAGGTGAATATTTAATGCATCTATTTAGAAAGGATTATTGTTATTATTATTGCATTTAGAAACTTTCTGTTTAATTGAAAATGATGTATAAAAGCTGCTAATAAATGATTGATGTTATTGAATATATGTCATGTGAATAATTCAAAACCTACACATAGCCTATTTAAAATTTTTTATTATACTGTATTATTGTAATATAAAGTAAACGCTGTAAAACATACAATCTATCATAATCTATTATTTAATAATTTATTTCTAAAGATTTATATAAGATTGTAGATTTTAATTTAATAGACACTATGATGAATGTTAATACGTTTAAGCAATAAACAATGCATTATAAAAGCATCTCACCATGATTCATCTTCAGACAGCTCCATATCATCAATATCGATAAGAGTTACTTCTTCTAAAGTAGAACTTTTTCTCTTCTCACACTTATTTGGTGAAGTCTGGCTGTTCTTATTTGTTAAAATCCCATAGCGATTAGGTTCGTGAATGGTTTTCTTACCGGTCATCATCCTTGCCATGTTTATATTACTATCCTTTGGCACGATTGTATTCCTATTTTGTCTATTTCTCAATTGCTGATTTTGAAGTTCTAACTTTTTTACTAAGTCCTGAAGTTTTTTTACTTCTTCTTTCGGATCCACAGCTGATCTCTTCCTATCCTCCATAATTACATTCATTCCAATCGTATTAATTATTAATTCTACTTCACAACATATTCACTCGCGGCAAATACATTTCTTGCATAATAAATTAATGTTATGACTAGTTAAAGAAATATATAAACTTTATAAAGGTATTCTTATTAGGAAGTAACATCACCCAACCCACTTTGCCACTTCTAACTGGGAATACACAAAACCCGAAGTATACGATAGATCTTATTAAATTTGAGATTTTTCTAAACGATTTAAATAATTTGTTTAATAATTACTAAATCGAGAATTTGATTAAATTTATTTTAAATATATAACGTCGCAAACGAAATTATAATCCGCATCACCATACATATACACCGACCGGGAGCTTGGTATCCCACAACTCTTAGCGAATAACTCCATTTCCCATAATGCATGGTGTTAGAACAATTTTCGATCAGAATAATGCCAAATTAAGTTTTTTTATTTAATTAAAATTATGAATGAATCCATTATGACAAATAGATATTCCCTCGGTAGTATGCAAGATTATTAAAATGAACTCGTGGCCGGTCATAATAACAGCTTTTATCAAAATGACAATTTTACAAATCATTATTTGATTGGAAATTTGTAAAAGTGTATTTTGTATTTTTACCAATGTGTTTATTTACCAAACTTGACAAGTTAAATAAATAAGGTAAGGAGATTTTCAATCTTATAAATGGAAAATGCTATCAAATAATTGATAACTAATTCATTTCCCTGTAAATATATATATTTTAAATGTTGAGTCAATTTCAATTGGAATAGCGAATATATGATATACCTTAAAAATAAATGTGTATGCATAAATATACATATGTGTATGTGTAATTATATGTATATATTTAATTACATTACACTTTGAATCACTTTCAAACATCAATTTATCATCATTAAACATTTTGATTAAAGATAACATTTTCTTCATTTACATAATAAACATTAATAACTTGACTAATTCAAAAATAAAGTTGAGATTTCAATGAAAAATAGGTTCATTGTTTTTATAGTGAGATACTATAAACATGCCTTATTGATATTTGTCAATGAGTTTAAAATATTAATGGCTGTGTTCAGCAGACTATGGTTGCAGAGCTGTTGAGTATTTTTCTTCTGAATGCTCTCTATGGTAATGCCCTTTTGGAACATGTTTGGTGTTTTAACATTGCATTTGGTAGCGTCTTTCATTTATGCTACTTATCGCTACCCAAAACTGACCAATGAGGCTTTTTGTTCCAATGCAACATCACTCGTTTGGCAGATCCAAGTTGCTATGTAACAGCTAATGATTTGCTCACTTATAACTGTTGAGTCTGCTGAAAACAGCCAATGTTTTCGACTTATTCGTAGGTCTTCCTTGGTTGCTCCTTACTGGATGCTGGTAAAGATGTGTTTATAGTATTTTGCTGTCTCTCTTCCGGTTTGATTTATGGATATTATTACTGTTTTCATAATTTTTTATTATGTATAAAATAATAAAAGAGAAATATCAATAAATTGACATTATTTTTGTATGAATTTAAACGTATAAGTTTGATTTAATTCATTTGCAAGTAGAACTTGCAAAAGCTTTAGTAAGAATAACAAATCAAATACTGTACTACAATAATAATATAATTTTAAAATTTTATTTAGATGATCCAAATTAGAAAAATAAAATATTTATGAAGGATAGATATCTTCCATTCTATTCATGAAAAAATTTACTATATATTCAAACTATTAAGAATTTTAAACTTGTATGATAACATTATTAATACTTTTTTAAATAAAAGTTTGAATAAGTTTTTCAATTGAATAAAATATCCATTTATAATTATTTAAATATTCAATTGGATATTATATTTGATAACAATAGTTCTTTTTCATATTTGCTACTTTGCATAATTTTAATTCAGAATGATATACTGTATGTATTTTTCCTTCTTATGAATTTATCATCTATCATCTGTGTTTTTGTTCTAATAATTTAAAAAGATTTGAAATTAGTTCTGAGCATTTTAATTTAGAATGTTGATCTGAAGCAGATCTTGTGTAAGATTGAAAATGTTTGTCAGCTTTACATTAAAATTATTTACTGGATTGTAAAGATTTTATTCAATGTACTTATTTTTCCTTTTGATAATAGATAAGTAACAGAATGAATTATTTCTAACTGTTATGCTCCAGTAAAGCAATTCTATCATATTTTGCTCTAATGGAGACATATTTTTGTTATAAATAATAGATTTTTTCCCAATAAAACAAATCTAAATATTGATAGAGCTATAATTTAGTTGTTAGATTGTTTCAGTTTTGCCTTACTGAAAAGAAAGCGTTAAAAGAAAATCAAAATTTAAAAAAACTAATGAAAGAATAATTTTTACGGATATATCATTGTGCTTGTCAAAACAAGATGATAATATTTTTGATAATAGTCATATGCAACTATTTGGTTCTTAAAAATTTTGAATGAGAAAAATGTTGATGTTTTGTTGTTATAAATTAAATTATACACTTTAAATATACATAAGAATCTAAGATCTTGACTATATAAACAGAATTTTATATAGTCAAGATCAACAAAATAATTGAAAACATTTGTGAGCTTTGTAATAGAATTTCAAATAAGTGTGTTGGTAGAAATTATCAAAGATTAGAAACAAGGCTCATGAACATAAAGACTTTAAGAGGGGTAAAATGACTATGATATTGCCTGAAGATCTTGTCACTAACAAAAGCTATACCTGACTGGGTTCAAACCATCCTAGTGATATGTGATGCAAGACACCTTTATGTCAGAGTGGCAGAAGAGTTAATGATCTTCATGATAATTGATCTTATCCTAAATAAGAGGAAAGAGAAAAATTACCTTGACCCATGGTTTGGCTTATAAGTTTGATCATCAAGAGACTTACCCAAATAATGAACTACAGTAGAGCATCGATTTTCCGAATCAATTGGGGACTGGGGTTGTTCGTACAACTGATATTTCGGATAACCGATTTATGTACGAAAAAATAGTTTAACGTATCCGATGTTAAAATTTTTATCCGTTGAGTGTCGCTTGGCGTTGAATTTGCGTTGATGTTAAGCCTAACGAAGACTATTGTATCGTTAAAAATTATTTTTTTTATTTTGTACAAACAAAATAAATATATTGAAAAATATAAAAACAATAAAAAATTATACTTCAGATGTTAATTTAGTATCAAAAACGTAAAATATTTGAGTAGCCCAAGACATAGACAAAGATTGAAGCGCCACAGCACTGGCAAAAATTTAAATTTGCCGACTGGAATTCTTTCGGATGATTGACTTTCGGAAAATNGGATGCTCCTTACTGGATGCTGGTAAAGATGTGTTTATAGTATTTTGCTGTCTCTCTTCCGGTTTGATTTATGGATATTATTACTGTTTTCATAATTTTTTATTATGTATAAAATAATAAAAGAGAAATATCAATAAATTGACATTATTTTTGTATGAATTAAAACGTATAAGTTTGATTTAATTCATTTGCAAGTAGAACTTGCAAAAGCTTTAGTAAGAATAACAAATCAAATACTGTACTACAATAATAATATAATTTTAAAATTTTATTTAGATGATCCAAATTAGAAAAATAAAATATTTATGAAGGATAGATATCTTCCATTCTATTCATGAAAAAATTTACTATATATTCAAACTATTAAGAATTTTAAACTTGTATGATAACATTATTAATACTTTTTTAAATAAAAGTTTGAATAAGTTTTTCAATTGAATAAAATATCCATTTATAATTATTTAAATATTCAATTGGATATTATATTTGATAACAATAGTTCTTTTTCATATTTGCTACTTTGCATAATTTTAATTCAGAATGATATACTGTATGTATTTTTCCTTCTTATGAATTTATCATCTATCATCTGTGTTTTTGTTCTAATAATTTAAAAAGATTTGAAATTAGTTCTGAGCATTTTAATTTAGAATGTTGATCTGAAGCAGATCTTGTGTAAGATTGAAAATGTTTGTCAGCTTTACATTAAAATTATTTACTGGATTGTAAAGATTTTATTCAATGTACTTATTTTTCCTTTTGATAATAGATAAGTAACAGAATGAATTATTTCTAACTGTTATGCTCCAGTAAAGCAATTCTATCATATTTTGCTCTAATGGAGACATATTTTTGTTATAAATAATAGATTTTTTCCCAATAAAACAAATCTAAATATTGATAGAGCTATAATTTAGTTGTTAGATTGTTTCAGTTTTGCCTTACTGAAAAGAAAGCGTTAAAAGAAAATCAAAATTTAAAAAAACTAATGAAAGAATAATTTTTACGGATATATCATTGTGCTTGTCAAAACAAGATGATAATATTTTTGATAATAGTCATATGCAACTATTTGGTTCTTAAAAATTTTGAATGAGAAAAATGTTGATGTTTTGTTGTTATAAATTAAATTATACACTTTAAATATACATAAGAATCTAAGATCTTGACTATATAAACAGAATTTTATATAGTCGAGATCAACAAAATAACTGAAAACATTTGTGAGCTTTGTAATAGAATTTCAAATAAGTGTGTTGGTAGAAATTATCAAAGATTAGAAACAAGACTCATGAACATAAAGACTTTAAGAGGGGTAAAATCACTATGATATTGCCTGAAGATCTTGTCACTAACAAAAGCTATACCTGACTGGGTTCAAACCATCCTAGTGATATGTGATGCAAGACACCTTTATGTCAGAGTGGCAGAAGAGTTAATGATCTTCATGATAATTGATCTTATCCTAAATAAGAGGAAAGAGAAAAATTACCTTGACCCATGGTTTGGCTTATAAGTTTGATCATCAAGAGACTTACCCAAATAATGAACTAATCAGTTCTTTGTAAAAAAAACTTCTTTTCCTTACACTTTGGACAGTTGCTATGGATAATGATTAACCTGATTTCAGACAGACACAGTCACGAACAATACTAAAAAGTTAATTTCACACACAAGTGTTTTTTGTGTATAGGTAGAAACTAATCCAAAGTTGTATTTATCAAATAATGACATTAGTTGTTCAAATGTTCTGTGCACGTATGAAACAAAGAATCTTTGGTGTTTAAAAGGTGTCAAAAATTTGCCTGTTGATTACTATTCTAGTGCAAATACTTGGATGACAAATATCATTTTCAGCAATTGGTTAATTAAGTGGGATCGTGAATTAAAGCAAAAACTCATCTTGTTAATGGAAAGTTACATGGCGCCATATCAGATGAATACTGAACTTGAGGAACTGTATTTATTGACTTTTTGGCCAAAAATTCATGAACAACAAAAGTATTGTGAGCAGATGTATCATTGTGGTTCAAAATCAATGAGTTTTCTCACTACAAATCAGATTGTTTTCTATAAATTTTCATGCAAACAATACAAAATACTATAATAAAATATTCTTTATTAACAGTTTGGCGAGTCGGAGGGAATTTGTGATGCACAACACCACGACAAAGAAAGTGATCTTGAATTTTGATTG